AAGATATATCATCGTAATAATGTACTATTCTATAGTAGAATTGTACTATAGTGGAATTTATAACCAACTAACTGGTATATGGTCTAATCTATTTGTTTGAACTATACTTTTATTGCAGAAATTTTGGTGGTTGAATTGGTTGGCGCTCTATATCTGATAAATATTAAAAATGGAAGCCCCTTCTCATACGATTTTTTTCATTACCCGAAAGTAAAGCACTTAAAACGAAATACCCTGTATATTCAAATAAAACATAGAGACAATCGGTTTATATTTAGGTATGCATGTAATAGTTTAGATACATATGTACATGTTCATATTTGCAAGACTTTTTCTAACATTATTTCAACAGGTTTAATTTTTAAACCACAAAAATTTTAACAAAATTCACTGTCAAATATTTTATCGATTTGATATATTTTAAAATAAGCATATAAATTTTGATTTCTTATCTGAATAATGGTTGTTAGCAAATTTTAACCAATTCTGCATAGAGAGTATTTAGGTAAACTTCGTCAAAGCAAAAATCAACATTTCTTTTTGTTCTATAATTATCTATTAATTACTAATATCCGTTCATCAAATACTATATATACTTTAATAGACTTTCCATTAATGAGCATTGTAAACTCCAATTGAATGATTTTCTTCGATTTCACATCTAATCTTCTAATCTACCTGGACTTATAAAAGATCTCGCTGCACAATATCAATCGATTACCTCATAACCTGAGAAGTTTCTTAATTTAGACAGACGGACACTACTAAATCGGTTCGTATCTTGAAATTGATTATCAATATTAACACGGGTATGAATAGAGTGTAAGGTCCCCCATCCGTCTGCTTTACTATGCATGCTGACACTTTGATCGAAAGTCAACGCTGTGATTGGTAATAATCGAGTATAGATTTTGGAGTAGGGCATTGAAGAATTGAATAACTTAGACAATTTGAAGAATTAACCTTTGCGCTGGTGATTTCAAACAATTGTGTTTTTTTTTGTTTTTATTTTTCCATGTAATTTTCTATTGAATACTGAAGTACTTTCTTATCAAAAATTGGCAAACGCTCATTAATAAAAGCAATAACATCGGTGTTTAAAACAAAGCATATAGACTTTGTCCTATGACTGTAAAACCAAACCAACAAACACGCACGCAGTTCGGTTCTGAATTTCTCAAAACATCGACAAATCGACAAAGAAAATTAAAGAATTAAATTGAAAATAAATTTATTAAAACAATAAAATAGCAACTAAAACAGAAAGCAACTCAATGGTTGTCGAAACAACAACATTAACACGTTCGCCGTAATCTCACCGATAAGAGCTGTTGAATAAGAAATATTGTGTTTTCCAAACTTAATTTATTTCATGTTTTTAATTTACTTACTGTTTCGGTTTTCGTTCTCATTTTGATTTTTTTTTATTTTTATTGTTTTTTTTTTGCCAATATTTGAACTGCGAAAAGATCACACTCGAATTGCAACTGCACAAATACCTCCATGCCCCAAGCTACTGAAGACGCTTGCCCGGTTCGCAATACTTAATCTGAAAAAATTCTCTAATGCTAAATTCTCAAATGCTTAAGAAGAATATTAAGAATATGGTATCTGATCTGATTTTTGGGAACGCACGGAACAAATACAAGCTGACACTGAAATCAATGGAAGAAAATTCAACCCTACGTTGGAAGAACCACGGAAGAACACGCCCCAGCTAAGACATGGCGAAGAACTGTGAACCTGGAGCTTAAAGACGTACGGTACTTTTGGAATCAAATTGCAAAAGAAGCAGACAACACACTAAGATTTAGAAGAACCGTTGAGATATTGCCTCCTTCTCTCCACTAGGAGAGAAGGACAGCAGTAAGTAAGTAAATCTGAAAAAAATAGCCTCGACGTTATATATACGTAAAATCTCTAGTTACGGAGGAACTAGAAACGGACGAATTGAGCTAGGAATCAATACTTACATTGCTTTCATTAGGAGTTACATGTTAATAACGTACTCGAAACTAATAAAACAAACTTGATGGCAAAAGTGAATGATGAATTTTGTTGAATTCCTTACTTCGTTACCTGCAAAATCGTCGTAGCATGCACCTTCGTTAACCCTTTTAAATTAGTTATTGGACTGATGATATTTATAGAGGTTAAAATTATAATAATCAATAAATCACTTCTTAGCTTAATAATAAAATTCACTTTGTGATTTGAGTATAGTAGAAAAAAAACTCAGGATATATAATATGCCAAAATGTTTTTTATTTGGGATTTTTCGATTTCGTAGTATTTTCCTTCACACCCAGAATGTAATAAGATAATTGACAAATACCAAATAGACATTGAAACAGAAAAAAAGAGACCGAGACTACAGGTTGTCACACAGTCCTATTAAAACATTAAAATAAGGTCAAGGTTTGCAAAAAAGTGTGCCTATTAATGGTCATTCCTTTCTAAAATAGAGAAAGAGACAGCAAGTGAAAGTGAGAGAGAGGGTATGACACAAAGAGAGAGTTATAAAAAGAGAGAGAGAAAAATCGGAAAATGGAGTGAATGGGAGAAAAAGTGAGAGACAGGGAAAGAGAGTGAGATTGAAAGAGAGAGTGAGAGAAAGAGGTATATAAAGATATTAATAAATAGATTAGATTCTGTCAAGTGACCAAATATACAACCTATTTACAACCTTACCGAGAGATTTGTCTTTTCCATTACTATTACGCAATATAATACAGTCCCATTTTGCTGAGATATTAACACAAATCAAGATTATCAAATTGATAACCTGTTTAAAATCATTTTCCGAAATAGATTTAAAAAAGGAGGGAGCAACACTGTATTATATCAAGCACTCTAATTACGTTATGATAATAGCACAGGTCGAGGTAGCCATATAGGTAACCTATTAACAGTTATATTCTTCAAAATAGAGAGAGAGAGAAAGAGAGAGAAAGAGAAAGAAAGAGAGAGAAAGAGGGAGAAAAAGATATAAAGAGAGAAAATGTATTCTGTCAAATCATACAGTCATTTTTTGTTAAGCTGGTAACACAAGTCAAACTTACAAAACAGGTACCACTAGTTCGTAATCTCATCTATATTTCACTTTTTCAAAGACTCCCTAAAATATGTTCTAGGTATTATTGTTTTTCGATTTGTTTCCAAGCCTGAATCAGAGTAGTCAAGCAGGTTATTCCGTAATAATGTGTCTGTGTGAAAAAGTTTGTTACTAATACGGTTTTTAAAAACTAATCTCTACTAATTATTGTAGTAGAAATTATAAAAATAACAGTAGATAAAGTAAGTAGATCTACTATTTATTATCCATTCCACATGAAAACTTCTAGGTTTAAACTCGCTAGATAGTAGTATCCTCCTTGAGCCAATCTTAGAGGATACTACTTGAATCACTGAACTTTGTCTACTGGTATATAGGGGACAGTAGAGAACATAATAAATATTGACGTTCTCCAATACTCTACAGAAGTAAAAACGAACATACTCCTTTATAGAACCATCTTCTACTTAAATGAACCTAGACCAGAGACCCAATTCAAGTGAAATTCTGATGTCGTGACGTGAGTTTCTGACCCACCTCCTAAGGTTAGTTTAATTCATTTACGTCTTTACATTCATAATTAAAAAGTATGTTTACAATACTTCTGAACATTTCCATATTAATTAGTAAACTGACTGCACTTATTACTGCAAAAGGTTTGTTGAAAGGTTTTAGAAAAGTTAGTCCCAATGTATCATTATTTTGATATCATGTAATTTCGATGGACAAGTGACAGAAGTTATAAAGATTTAACTCACCACATTGATCATGTTTAATTTGAAGTCTAAATGAACCAAAGAATATATTTGTGAAGAGCACCGATTTGATTAATACCAAGAATTACATTATTCTTGTAACACTGTTGAAATAAAATAGTAGTTGTAAAATAGATGTAATAATGTAGTCCGGTAAACAATATCTCAGTCAATTATTGCTTAGTCTGATGAAGTGATAAACAATAATCCAGTCAAGGCGTAAAGAGGGGTTTTAAAAATACCTCGAGTTAAGAAAGAGTTAAAGTGCTCAAGTGCACTGGCTTAAATAGAAATAAATAAATAATAATAAATCAGTGAATTATTGTGAATATTTTAAAAGTTACGATATTGGTTAATATTAAGGATAACTTGAGTCCTGTTGAGATGAAACAAAAGAGTGGACGTAATAAAGAAACTCTCTAATCAATATCTGATGTAACACAGTCAATTAGTACATATTTGCCCAAAAACTTCGAAAACTTTAATATCGATAAATGTGAAGGAGTACTTGATTTCTGTACACATTCCGTTTACATTGCTAAGGAAAAAAGAAGACGTAATAAAACAATCCGCTCATAAATGTCTTAGTGAGCACAGTGATCAAACTATATATTATATGTGTAGATATGTGTCCACATAATTGTATGATAATGTGTGATAATGTGCCCCACTCAAGCTCGAAAGTATTTTATCATTTTGCATATCACATTCAAAGACAAAGTTCACCAGAGTTTTCGGGTTCCAACCCAAATGGTAGCAGCGCTGTAAATGGTTGTTCTCTTGTTGTTGTTGGGTCGGTATTGTTATGATATTTATTGCTTGCATTGTTATTGTCCACTTCGATTATGTGTAAAACAACAGCACTATATTTACTCAGTTTTCGTATGGAAGTAGAGCGTCTAGAAGTTGTCGTAGATGGCACGAAATAATCAAAGAAAGAATTAGTGGTATTGTTTGCTTTAAGAAAGTTAGTGAGTAAGATAAGTTAGCACAGCAGTTCACAGCGTATATTCCGATATACATATATGTATGCTTGGACGTAAGTATGTATGCATGTATGTAAGTATATAAGTATGTAGCAATAAACATGAAGAAATCGAATTAAATGCTACTTTGTATTTTGAAACTGAAAATATTGATAAGAAACCGAATGCGAAGTTCGACGACTCAATACTTCAGTTCTGTCATGAACGTTAGCGACATCCATCGATGTAGTTCGCGCTGTCGTTTGCCTTTAGCAACATCATAGCCAACGTTCTAAACTTGGAGGGAACCCAAGTAAAACAAAATATTTCAGTTGCCTGAAGAGTAGTAACTGACGAAGATCTCGATCGAGTCTAAGCTCCTGCACTGGCAAGGCATTGCACTGATATCAAAATTAATTCTCAAATGAACTAAACTGAACTGAATTGAACTGTACTGTACTGAGAACTCAAATAAAAAGCAAAATACTAAATAGAAATTATTTTCAAATCGATTCTAAAATTTGAATTTTGAAATAAAACCTCAATTACCTCAAGTGTTTTTAATATATGCACATTTAGTATCGCGTTTCAGTTGTGATTTGTGATTTAAAAACGCGAAACTCAAAGTGAATATTTTGTACTGAAGTGCGTGTTCGAACCCATCGATCGATTCTAAGGTGATTTTAAAAATTATTTAAGTAACGCAAAAAAAATTTAAGAATTCGAAACTTCGAAACTGGAAACGTTAGTTGTGATCACTAAATGAGTTGAAGTAGAATTTAAATTTAAAAAAATTCTACAATTTCTAAAATTGCACACAATTTCAAAATAACTGCGTTTATAAGTGGCTCCCTCGCTCTTCAAACGCAAACCTCAAAATCTTTCCAGTACCGCAATTTCAACAGATAATTTTCTTGTCATTTACAGTGCGAACTATCTAAAGTTCACATCGAACAACCGATCGCCTACAATTTACAGGATCATATATCACTCAAACTCCCTTATTGATAATGGCGGAGTGTAACAACGAAGAGGCTTTCAATCTACGAATTGGTTATCTGAAACCAGAGACTGAGGAACTAGCTAGGACAGAACTCAACGAAACCCCCGAAACCAAAGAGATAGCAATTAGAGAACTACGTGAACTCCTCCACAGTTGTGCCGATATCAAATACAGAGACGATGATGATTTTCTTGTGATATTTCTGAGATGTTGCCACTTCTATCCCAAAAGTGCATTCGAAAAAGTAAGACCCAAAGCGCATGAATCATAAATTTCATTTCCATTTCAAATTTTAATTCGTCTTTTTTGCATTAAATTTTTATGTTTATGTGTGCGTTCACAAATTCAATTCATTATTTTTTTCTTATTTGTTTTGTTTTTAATAATTTTTAGGACTTATATTTCAAAAATTTTTATCTTACTCATACGAACAAACACATTGGGTCTAGCGATAATTATTGTATTCAACTCAATATCAGTTTACTTCGTTAAGTTTCAAATTCAAACATTTTTGCGTTTTCATTTTGATAATGTAAATGTGTTTCCACACGTTCACATCGTGAACACCAGCATGGAAACAAATCTTCGTTATGAAAAAAAAACACGCACTGAAAACTGATAGATTTTTCTCACTCCACTCGTTTCGATTCCATCAACGCACATACTGTAAAGCATCCCTTATGCAAGCTACCATTCTGCAGGTCACCATTTTGGAGGCTATCATTCTCCAAGTCCATACATCACTTCAATATAATTGAATTACGTCTCTACAGGTCTATCAGCAATCAATGAAGTTTATAATCTTAAAAGTAGTCTATCTACCGGAATAGTCCTAAAGTGAATATCCTATATCTCCGAATTTCATCGAAAGTCCACATAATGTACTTATGATTGCTAAAAAAAAAGCAGTTCGAACAATGGAACAGTAATATCTTTAATATTACAGATATTAGATTAAAAATTCTTAATTTGTGTAAAAGAATGATGTGTCAAATATATATTTACAGTCCCATGCATTAACAAATTTTCTTGATTAACCTTTACGGATATGGATTTCAGTTCATATGTAATACACCCAGTGTCCAACTATCTTTTGATTGCTAACAAAATTTTAATTTTATATCACAATTACAGAACTTACCACCTGCATTTTATGTATAAACTTCCATCAAATAAATTTTTTTCGACATCTAACACAATATACTGTATATCGAGTACATAATATAGAAAAAATTTTGTCTATAAACTTAGGGTTTTGTTCTATCATTACATTATGTGAACAATGTGAAGAATTCTTACCAACAATCTTCAGCAAGTCTCTCAGCTTATAAAACCATTTTGTTTTTCCTTGCTTATTTCTATTCATTTTTTTTTGCTCTAGTCTTCTTCCAAGCATTCACTCAATTGAAATTCATTCGTTCGTTTGCTATTCATAATTTTTTATACATATACATATGTATATGACATAATAATTGCCAATTGCACATGATAGGATAGATGATACAATAGCAAATCTGATTATAGATTGTAAAAGACTCTTTTTTTAGGATCAAGTATTTATTTATTCGAAATTCATTCGTACGTTTGGTTATTTGTATATCAAGAACTATTTCTGTGTGACATGTTATGTAGCATAAAAGCACGGATAAGAAAAATGGTATAAACACGTGTAGCTCTACCATTATTGGGGAAACTTGCTTTAACCGTACCCATTGCATATTGTGAATTTCCCATGGAAGTGATAGGTGTTATTCTGACGAAAATGATAAGTAGTATCAATCGCTCCATAAAATTTCTCACTATAAAACATAATCTATAATTTCGTAAAATTTTGTTTATATATAAGGATATATCATTTTCTTTGCTACGTATGTTTCAATGATCGATCAAGTATCAATTGCAAAATTTTATGTTGCCTAGCAGTCAGTAGATGTTTAAAAAGATATCAATTAATATACCTAAAAGGTTTTATCAAGTGAAATTCCATAAAGCCGCCATAATTCTAAGCGTTTTATGGCCCCATTTAATGGCCTCACTTCAATTGCAGTCATAATGGCAATGCTGATAACAGCGCTAATGGTATTGTTCGCTAAATGCGAACAATACGCGTATTGGTCAGTTTTATGACTTTTATAATAAATTAATAAAAACAATAATGAATTAACTAATATTATGTAAAATTATTAGCATTATTAAATAACCGTTACACATTTTACATAATCATGATATATAATAATATTAACTATGCACTAATGTTTCGAGTTGTTCGAACAGTTTTACGTGTTCGAACAGCTTAAGTAGCCTAGAAGTCGCACATTTGTATCTTCGAACATTTCAAATGTTTGAAAATATTGGAGCTGATCGAAAATATTCGAACTCACAATGAGAAATATTCCCAATAGGCTTACTCGATGATACTCAGATGCAGCACTATATATTCATTTGTCGATATATATATATTATAAACTTGTCTTTATAAAATATTAATATTATTAATTTTAATTAATTAATTAATAAAATTAAATTAATGGTATAGATGAAATCAGTGGCAAGCTTTCGTAAGGACTATGCGTTACTCGTGAGGGGATTGCTGGTGGAACAGGTCAAGGAAAAATTTGTACAAGGTAGCGCAGTAAATGTATTGAGAAATTGCGATCAGAAAGGACGTCGCGTATTAATTGTTAATTGCGGAAAATTGTGGAATCCTAGCGAAATACCGCCAGATGAACTCTTCCGTATGTTATATATGGTGCACATTGCAGCACAACTTGAGCCAGAAACACAAATACGAGGTGTTGTGGTTATTATGGATTTTGATGGTCTCGCAATGAAACAAGTGAAAGCGCTTTCCCCAAGTTTTTCGAAGCGGCTTCTTTCGTTTATACAAGATGCAATGCCATTGCGCATGAGAGAGGTGCATTTCGTAAAACAACCATTCATCTTTAAAATGGTTTGGCAGCTATTTAAGCCATTTGTCCGCGAGAAATTGAACAAAAGGGTAGGTGGTGTGGTGACTTATTCTCTTTGCTATATAAAATTAAATAAATTATGTTTTTTTTTAATAGATGCACTTCCATGGTAACGATATGAAATCTCTGCATGCATATTTGTCACCAGAGATCTTACCAGAAAACTATAAGGGACAACTGCCTATGATCAATTACGGTGGTAATGAATGGTTGCCTGCATTGGAGAAAAATTCCGAATATGTTAAAGAGTGGGCCGAAATGGGACCAGCCAAATGGTAATTACTGAAAGATACTTCAGGCTTTCTCTGCGTGCTAGCATCCTCCTTTGAACAAATTAGCAAATTAAACATTTATCTTATATTATAATTATGACATACCTCATTTAACATTCCAAAAAAATACTTTTAAATAAAATAAAATCGTTCGTAAACAATATTGTTTCCATTTATTCAGGCCAAAACTATTTAACAATATGAGTTTCGTTTTTATACCGTCGTTATTCCAACTTAAGCAAAGGTTAAAACAATAAAGATTATCGCAAATGAAGCGATAACATGACACTGCGTCGCTTATGTGTGTTTCCTTCTCAATTAATAAACAAGTTGGAATAAAATATATAATAAAAAATAGAAAATATATAACAAGAATGACAAAACGAAAACAAAAACAAAATTAAAATGATATATAAAAAATTATTAATCAATAAGATTGATGGCTCTTTCTATGGGCAGTTACTAAGTGTACTAAGTGTACTATATATGATTGGTTAAAAATTTGATTATTTTCACATATGCAGTTTGCCATTACACAAAATTAAAGTAATTATATTAAGTAAACAAAATATATTTTTGCTAAGAAAAAAAAAATTTAATTATAATAAATCATCAATATTTAATTAGTAATCACAATCGTTTAGGTCTAATTAGGGAAAAACAAAAATAAATTTCTTCTTCGAAGGTTTAAATTCTCAGATTCGTGTTTAGTTATCAACTTAGCCGTTATAGTGCACAGGATATGCTCTATTATTTTACTTAAGAAGAAACAATTTAATTAATTACAGTATCATAGTTTGGGGATCTTCAATGAAATCGCGGAAATGCGATAGCCATTGGGCTGCAAGTGCTCCATCGACGGTTCTGTGGTCGGCACTCAATGTTACGTTCATAACGCTGACTTCTCTGAAACTATTAAGAAAAATGAAAATGAGAAACTTACATTACTCAAACCATGTAATTTGCATACCCTTTTATGTTATCTGGATCTGGTAACAGTTTCTTTGATGTTGTGCCAACAGCTAGAATACATGACTGCGGTGGATTTATAACAGCACAGAAGTTGGTAACTCCTAAAAGACGTAAAATTTACAAATGTTAAAGATGGTACTTCTAAATGTTGCTGCATTATAGTATTGGAACGGTTGCATCGAATATCGAGTTCGAACACTTCAAAAATTTGAAAAACTTTGAGCGACTTGTAGATATTCAAGCTACTGGATCAGCAAATCTACTTTGTTTTTCATTTTGTTTTATACAAAATGGGTACACGGTTTGCGTTGTTTGTTAGTGCTTGTAAATAAACATTGCTTCACAGATTGCATATTATAGCACTACTTGCACACACATATTAATAATTTTTTATATGCATACTTGTATTAAAAGCCGTTTTTATAGTCGTAATTTGAGTCTCAACACTTAGTTAAGTCATACTTAAGTCATCAACTGGCTCACATCATACTTAAGTCAGTTTAGAGACTTAAAGTACGACGATGAAATGAACCCTAAGTGTCGCTAAAATAGGGAATCGTGTGAAGTGACTTGTCTAGGCAAAACTAAACCAAATATCCAACAATCATTATGTGTGTGTATATTTGGTTGCTTACGAATTGCTTTTGTTTGTGATTTTCACAGATAAAATAAGCATCGTATAACAGACTGATCCAAAGACTTAATCTAGCCACTGCGTACCCATCGCTCCTTTAAATGCTCGAATGCAGATTTGATTTTAGTTTTAACAACAATCTCACATTAGTGCTTACAAATGCTGAGCAATAATAATAAAAATGCTTTATTGTTCACATAAAGATATACTTTTTGGTTCTGTGATGACACTCACGTGGTGTTCGTCTGTATAGTGCCCTATCATGATCACGATTAGTATTTCAAGGTCCTTTCTCCCTAATAGGAGCAGCTTAGGTATTATACTTAAATACCTAAGCTGTGTTGTACTGCAAATAGCACGACTATCGTGCTATTGGCAGGTGAGGATGAGTCTTAAGTATAGAGTCTAAAGACTATAATAGAGTAGAAACGTAATATCAAGTAGCTTGACAAATTTAAGTGTTGTGGCCTATTTTATTTCCTCGTCCTTACTCTTGCCTTACTTCTTCTCACCTCTACTCTATTGGGCCTTTAAGTCGGCTTTGTCGCACAAGGGTAACAATCAGTAAAATCAAATACTACTAGTTAACTTCATTTCTAAACCGTGTGGATGATGAGTTCCACTTCAGCAATCTTCCCAGAGTTTCGCCGTTCTTAAAAAATAAAACGATTAAGGTAACATTCTCCAGAAGCAACGAGTTTAAGTTGAGTTTAAAAAAGTATTCAATCATACTTATCCCAAAATTATTATGAACTATTTAAAGGGTATTAAAAAATAGAAAACAAAAATAATCTTAAAAAAGTATAGAGAGTACAGAAATAAAGAAAATTATGAACGACGCTTTTGTCTTCACTTCCTTCTAACTTTTCAAACAGTTTAAAGTTTTACTATATTCGTTAGAATTACTTCATACAAAACTTATTATGGTTGGTATTTACTCTACTCTGCAGAGATCTATCTAACATGATAACAGATAACATGAAAGGAATTAGAAAGCCGTAAGCATGGTTAGGATGGTGATGGTGGGTGATGGTAGTGTGAGAGGGGAGGCGATTGTGAAGGAGTATATATGCATTGGGGATAAGTTGAATTTTAATTATAATCAACCTGGGTCTAGGCGGAGAAATGTAGCGCTTCAATTGTGGGTCCAAAGATCGATTGGCATACAAAACTTCGGACCTACTTAGTTGAACATACTGCGGTACATTGTGGTGCATAAAGAAAAAAATATTTCCTAAAAAAATTTGGTTATACAAATTGTATAGTAAATAGCAACCCAAAGAAAATCAGCAACATCACACTATCAATACCCTATTATACAATTAGAAGCATATAAAAAGCTTGAAGTTTTGAAAAGATGTGTTATGTTAGATGTATTTTTCTGACTTACCGAACATTCCCAAATTGGAAACAGTGACAGTGCCACCTTGGAATTCATGTGGCTTCAACTTATTGTCACGTGCTTTACCGGCCAATGCTTTTACTTCTTTTGAAATTTCTATTACTCCTTTACGATCGGCGCTAAACACTATAGGTGTAATTAAACCAGTATCAGTAGACACAGCTACGGAGACGTCAACGTAGTCGAATCTATAAAAAATATTATTAAGTAATTGCACAATATACTTTAAATTTTATTTACTTACTGCCTCATGACAGTTTCCATCCAATATGAATTTGACTCAGGCACTTTTCGACAGGCAGCAGCAGTAGCTTTAATAATAAAATCATTAACAGAGACTCTTACCTTCTGTTTCTCATATTTCTTGTTTACTTTAGCACGGAATTTGAGAAGCTAAACACAAAAAAAAACAAAAATACTTTAAACAAATAATCAAGAATTTAAAAAGAAATGGCTTACGTTGTCAACTTGACATTCTACACTAACATAGTAGTGTGGAATAGTTACTTTCGATTCCAATAAACGTTTAGCGATGACAGCGCGAACATTAGAAACGGGAACATCAATATAACCACCTGGAGGCATCTTTCCAGGTGCTCCGGCAGCAGCACCTTTAGCAGGTTTTGCTGCTGCTCCTGCTGCTTTCATAGCACCAAGATCGTCTGATTTAATAGAACCATGAACACCACTACCCTTTCCTATGTATGTAAACAATAAAAAAATTAAGAACTTAAAATAACAAAAGTAAATGTGAATAAGTATGTGAGCGTGTAACCTTCTAAACGAAGTTTTTGAGTTTCTGCAAGTTTTTTTGCCATAGGGCTTGCATACACTCGAGGGCCGCGCTGTTCTACAGCAGTCATACCTGCGGCAGCCGCAGGGGCTGGTGCAGCTGCTGCTGCGGGAGCAGCTTTCGCAGGTGCTGGTGGTGCTGGTGCTGCAGCTGCTGGTGCTGGTGCTGCCGGTGCTGGTGCTGCCGGTGCTGGTGCTGCAGCTGCTGGCGCTGGTGCCGGTGCTGCCGCTGCTGGTGCTGCACCTGCAGGGCTGTCATCTTTAAAGTCTTTAAATGCGGCAACATCTTTTTGATCTTGTACAATTATGCAAACAAGTTTACCCACAGGTACACCTTTGGAACCAGCTGCAATTACAATTTTTGCTAAAAATCCCTCTTCAGGAGTCTCAAAACCCATTGTGGCTTTATCAGTTTCAATTTCAGCGAGAAGATCACCTAATAAGTGCAATAAATTTAAAAACATATAGAAAAAGAAAAAATAATAAAAAACAAAATATTCTTACCTTCGTTTAACTTGTCACCTTCTTTCTTCTCCCAGCTAACGATGTTGCCAACTTCCATCGTTGGTGAAAGTGCAGGCAAGTTAACCTTAATATGAGGAGGATAACTGCTGTAAGCTCGCACAAAATTCATGCTGGCTCCAAGACATTTTTTTGTTTTAATATTATTTGGTGTTAATCTAAATAAGATATATGCTTATGACATATTAATCAAACAATTTTTTTATTTAAACGAATGAGGGAATGTTAAATGCCCTTCAGTCTCTACAATTTGTTTAGCAAACATGACACCCACGTAAAAACAAACTTTTTTCTATTTTAATTTATTTTTCTATTAAAAACTTTGTGCAAACAGGTTGGATTAATATTGATTGAGTTATGTTAGAATAATAGAAGACGGCATGATCGCGAAAGAATGCTTTGGAGCTGTTATCAGTGATAGTTGCATTCAAATGCATTTTTGCAATTTGCCGACCCCCTTTATCATAACTGCACAAACTTCGGAGATTACACAACACTTTCTAACCTTAAAACAAATCTTAAATGCAGTCAAGACGCTTTACTAACATTTCTGTAAAGTCATATTACATATTGGTTATCTTACCTGAATTGTTTTAAATTCCTGGCTGCAGTCACCGTCAGCAGACGTGAAACACCGCGAGTCGCTTTTGCAAAGCTTACACCCGAAAATGTACTTGTACGAACTGCAATTATCCTAAGCATTTTGTCCCGTATGAAGCAATACTTTTCTTGTTTCTTCTCACTGGTTTACACAAAAACGCCAAATAAAGTGTCACAGAAAAGTTTCGTATTATTTCTTTGGAAACAATACGTAATCTTTCTTCCCCCAGTTCGTAATATTTCAGCCAAACAAAATATTGACTGCTACCGACCTTTTAATTCTTTAATAGGTCAAAATAAGCAGAAAAAAATTCTATAGAAACAATGCAAATGTCAAAATATAAAACGAAATTTTAGGGTTACCAAGCTCAATAAATATATGTCTTTTGTCAAAAGCTGATAACAAATTGATTATAAAACTTGTGCATTAGCACATATCTATTTAAACATAAAAAATTTTATTTTATCTCAAAAAATATATTGACATTTAAGTCTAATATTTCGATTTCTAACATGAAAATCAAAGTAAAATATTTTACTAGAAACTAGCAGGTAAATTTATTTTTCTACAATATGTGCTTTCGGTAACTTTTAAGTGTGGCAAAAAACAGCAAGTTGCTAGCTTAAAGTTCCTACAATGCACTCAAAACAACAACACTACTTTCTTTAACTAAACACCTAGTTGTAAAGTGGCCAACGTTTTGGCAACTACAGCGCGATGTAGAATATCTTTTTTGAGTGTCATTCAAGAGAGAAAATCCATGAATGACACTCATAAATGGTAGTCTGCACCTTTGAATGATACGCAACCAGCATGTTGACGTGCTCACCAAAATTTTGGTGAGCATATCATTCAACTTTTCACCAACATGTTGTGAATAATTGCTTGTCACCCAAAAACTTGCATTCGTCATTCAAGAGCATATTTTTGCATGGTTGCACTAACACACTTACAGCGTGCGTAAACACCCTTATCTTCAAAAATTTTGTTTGAATGACAACTCTTGAAAGTGAGCATGTTCAAGTTCGGTCGCTAGAATAAATTTAAGCAAGAGAGAGCGCAACTTGAATGACATTCAAAAATGATAGCCTGCACCTCGCTTAAATGAAAAAATGTTACCAACGCAATAAGCGAACTGTTGTGAACCTTCATTGGAAATTGTAACTCATATTTCAGTCATATGTCAAAGTTTGTTTATAAACTTCATAAATTCATACAAAATATAAAAAGTTTCACAAATTTGAAAATGAAATGTTTTAAAAATGTACAAAATTGTGGAAAATAAATAGTTATACATAATATATATGGACATATAAATATATACAAAAATTGTTAGGAGTACATAAAGAATATATGATTGCAAAGCGGTTTAAAATTTTTAACTTATTAGTTGCTAACAAGTTTACACTTATTAAGGCAATAAATATTCTTAGCTATTATTAATTTTGTTGTAACATTAAAATGCATAAAATTTTAACATTTCCTGCATTCTTAACATTGGTTTTGGTATATTATTCATTTTATTATTAAATTATTATTTATTTTTATACAAAATTTAATCTGCTTGCATAATGTGCACATATACAAGATTCGCTCTTCGCGAAAACAAAATATTTGACAGTTTACAACAGTGACGCCAATATCTCGTTTAGCGACTATTGTAAGCAACATTCTGTTTTTTGCCACACATAAAAGCTGCCGAAAGCATCTAATATGTATAACACCAAGTCTTAATCTTAATTAAAAAGCATCGAAAGACACAAAGTGAGATTTGAACCTGCTAAAATCACCTCTTAGTAATGCTGAAACAAATTTTAATCATTAAACCATAAAGATCAAGAATTCCATTCCAATAATCATGGGAAAGGCAGGCATTAGAATACAGAAGGCTTACATTTAGCCTTCAAAAATATCTAATCTGAAATGGAAAACAAATGAGGGTAGGAAAGTAGTTTATTTTTGCTAGGTAACAGTTAGTAACTAGGAGTACACTCTATGCAAGTGGTTATTGTAACCAAAATTGTAGATCGGGATTATAGAAGAGAAGCGAATAATGTTATCCAGATAAGGAGCTAGAAATTTAAATGCTAGAACTTCATATTATTAAGTAGAACAGTGGGAAATTGAGCTAGATGAAGAATACCATGGGGAATATTATTATGATAAGTATCCTCGCATTAGGGACAACAAAAAGACATCTGATCGCTCGAATTCAAAAAAACTTGTACATCTGGGCTTGTATTTAATGCAGACTCGTAGCATTCTCCTTTCAAGTAATCGAAGGCGTATCACTTAGGAAGATGTGATTCCAGACCAGTTTGGTGATTATAATTTTGATTTTTCGAAACTAAAATACAAATATGAAAAGAAAATAATGATGATGATATGATGAGTTTTTGTACACGCAGTTGGGAGTTTACGGAACTATTCGCGGAGTCTATGTTATATGTTAGATCTGAATAAGCCTCGATATTAACACAAGAGATATTATCTTATCTTATTGGTATTGTAAATATGTATGTTCTATATTATCTTTGTATATGTACTATGTCATCATTGATCTTATTGTTAAAGTAATATTGCGTTGAATTCTGTTTGTCTGCTGCAAAAAGTGATCATTTGTTAACTACTGCCTAAAAGAGTTGCAAAAACTAAGGATGTAAATATTCTTTGTCATATTCCGAATCCTGGATCTGGATAAGCCTGGTTCGAGATGTTGTGGTATCTACCCCTCGATCGATTGTGAACACGATCCACGGGAGCTTCGATATGGCTGCTTCAGCTTGGCTGTCCAGTGCCTGTGAGAATCGATATTATTTTAGATGCGCCTATCTTGTCCCTTTAGATTCAGTCAGAAGTCAGAAATGCAATATTTTAAGTATGCAGGCCAATTCTCCTTTGACCAGGCTATTGTAACAATTCCTGTTTGCTTGGTACAAGTAAAAAGTTTTCGTGGTCTATCAATGAAACATCGAGTTTCACTAACTCAGCAGAGTGCCTATCCTCTGCAATATTTGCAGGACCGAGAACCCAAACTACAGTTCATTTGGAAATGTCACCAAATAAGTTATTGATTCGTCTATTATTATGAACTATCTTAGATGAGACATATGTATGCCTTGTTAACCTTGACCTTGCTGCTGAAACAATAATTTCTATTCACCTGTGATTGACAGGAACGAAAATAGACAAATGCGGCATATATCATAGAAGCAGTCTCACCAACTCATCAGTATGTTTGTACCTCACTTTATTTGCATGAACAGGAACTCAAATTGAAGTTATTTAAGAAATGCTGTCTAATAAATTGTTTTGCCTACATTTCTGAACTTCCTTAGAAAAAATGTATACCACTGAAATATTTTTGATTTCTACATGATTCCGAAAATGTGGACTTCGTTAAAATGAGCAGAGAAGATAAATTTGAACTCATTAAAAATACATCAGTAAAACTACAAGACACGTGACTGCAATCGTTTTTGTGATGTTTCACTTCTGAATACAGTGAAACATCACACATCACTTATTCCATCCTTTTTGGAATAAGTTATGGATGAATTTTATTGTGGGTTTGTAAGCTAAAATTGGAGTACTGATGTTTAAACGAAATATTTTATGAAAGTTTTTGGCAGAAAACTATCAGAGGACAGAGAATTATCGCCAAAAAATTTAGCGTCCATACAGCATTGCATCCGTCAGGAGATGAAATAAAAACAATGGGTTACAACAAATTTAACCTGTAACTTGACATTATATTCTTCAATAAAACTCCACTTAATCTAAACATCAGAGTGTTGTTTCATTATCAGCACTATAGTTGCTTCTAAGTAGAACGCGTACGTAATTGTAGTGCTCTCAGAACTTCCCTTTCTTGCATATAGAGCCTATAATGTTGTATTCAACGGTTTTCTTGAGTGACGCTAAAAGGTCAGAGCTACTTTTGTGAAGCATCCAAGTCTATGATGTCATGATAAGGTTCCTGAATTTAGAGTCTTGACGTATTGTAATTGGTTTCGTTGGAATTCAGCAATCAACCCCGTATTTTTTCGGTCATATTAATAACAGTTGCTTTAATAAACCTATTATAGTTGTAGTGTATTGCACTATTACGTCAAACTAATCTTTCTCTACTGTGATTATTTCAGAAACTCTAATTGTTCTTATCGCAGACCATACTCTTATAAAGTTCGTCTTTTCTTCAATAATATGCAACCCCCTTCTTTCTCTTCAATTTTTGCGAAGTATTCTTATATAACTAATTCAAGAGATGATATAATCTGTAAAATCTGTTAGTACTATAATCTGTTGTTGGTGTTCTTACTTATTATTCTTGAATTAACAGGTGCAGTGCTCGAAAATAAGATCCTAAATATCAAAATTCTGTTCGATAAAGAAGCTGTTCTCATAACGAAGTAATATTTTATTTTTTTTTTCAATAAAACATAATAAAAGAAAATTAATTTAAATAAATTAAGTATGCAAGCGCTAGCTAATTGCAATAAAGAAAAATTAAAACAGTCAAAGTGCCAACTAAATTCATAATAAATAAATACATATGGTGTCTAAAGAGCGATCTGGCCATGTGCTTGAAAAAATTAACAGTTAAGTTCCTAAACTATTTTATTTAAATACGGGCAAAATGTAATAACTTAATAATTTTTTTTTAATAATACGATCGTTGTGGCAGTATTATTTAAATAATTTTGCATTGCACTATAGGTCTTCTTTCACATAAAATTGTTACTAAAAATATTACTAAAAAGGGAATTGATCAAGACGTCTCTATCTTCATAAAAATCTTGAATATTTTTCCCAAAAAGTATAATTAAATTATTATAATTAATGTAACCTGCCACCCGTCCGGACAAATGGCAAAATTTTTTAAAAACTGGGAAGTACAACGTAGATTATTTTAATGTAATAAACATGATATATATATATATAAAATATCCGCTCGTGCCGAAAAATTTTTGCCTTAGTACCTAAAAAACTTTAATACAATGGTTTTCAAATTTTTTCATGGAACACCTTTGAAATTGTAAGTTTAACACGGAACACTAAATTTTATATCAGTTATACGAGAATACTGTATTTAATATATCATAATCTGAGTTTTTCGCAGAGAACTGGAAATTAAATTGCGGAGACCAAGTGCTCCAAGAGTACAGTTTAGGAAACTGCTTTAAAATAATTAGCTGTAACTTCTAATAAAAAGAAAAAAAAATTCATACGAAAACCTCTCTGAATGTATTTTTAATTACGGTTGCCGTATTCTTTCCAAACTGTAAGAAAAATCTTCCACAGCTTTTGAATATTTCACATTATCAACTACATCAAATAAGTTTTTTTACTCTTCGAAGAAATATTGATTTTCCACTTGGGTGGAAATTTTTGGATTGGTGTTAGAAGAGGTTAAT